GGATTGTTTAGGTCGGGGGATATTTCGGTCAAGTTTGTTCCGACAACGGAGCAACACGCGGACCTCCTTACCAAGGCCCTTAGCAGGGTCAGTCTGCAGTACCACCGGCGCAAGCTGATGAATTTGCCGGAGTAGATGTAGCAGTTTTTAGCACTTGCCTTGGATTTTTTGGTAAGTGCGGCCGTTGTAAGCCGCTGTGATAGCGAGGTTTTTTGTGGTGGAAGGGTTTTTCCTTGAGGGGTTTTGCCCGGACGCCGGGTTTCCCCTCCATATGTTACCATGTTGGTATTTTCTGATGTATCCTGGGGCGTTCTTGCCCAATTGATGGTTAGTCACTTTCGTGAAGAACCAGGGAGGGTGTTCGTGAGTCTGCGAACATTGCTGTTGGATACATGTGCTGGATGATTTTGTGTCACGCCGACTGGTAAGATAACCGTTTGATAGGGGGCACCGCGATGATTCACGGGGCCCCTCCTTGCTGTGGGAGCCGCTCTTTGAGTACTCCCTCTTTCGTCCGTGTGAAGGACGGTCGCCTACCTCCCGTGAAGTTAATACATCACCAAAACAGTCTCACCCGATAAATAAGTGGCGTAGGCCGCAAACATGTACTGTAGGCATCTCTCGGGTCTAATTTGCAGCGCGTGCAACCCATTGCCGTTATCGCATGGCATGGGTGGTCGTTTCATCCGATACCCGTTCTTGTTCTGACAGGGTTTCACGCTGAGCTTTGTCGGGCAACTGGATGGTGCAGATTGGACTGTGGACATCTTCGATTTCAGCACCGATGTCAACACCTGGGTCAGGGCGGGCACCCTGACAGGGAGTAAGTTCTGCTCGCTAATTCTACGATAGTTCGCCCATTTTGTCTTGTCCCAAGCCTTCCAATATGGCGGCTTGTGAAGCCCAGCTTTGTCGGGGGATTGGGCTCCCATGCCTGAATAACGTTTTCTCATGTGTAAAATCGTGCGTACCTTGCTTGCGATTCCGTCGTGCCTACTTCACAGTGACTACTACTGGGTGGGGGGACGTCGACATCGACTTCCCCACCACGACACCTGCCAACTTTGTCGCTGATACGTCGGTAGTACTGGTATGTGGTCAACTCGCCGAAGAAATTGGGGCAAATCTCTGGCCCACGTAGGAGTGTGTGTCAGAGGAAATTGAACCTCCTTGAGTCAGACTATTCGTTACCCGGTGTAGATCACGTCGGAAGAAGTAGCGCTGCAGAAAAGCGTTCGAGTTGGAATGCACGAAAGTTCCGCGAAGAGTGCTGTCGAGGTCTATGTCCGTTCGCTCATGCATTGCGCCCGCTCGGCTTCACCGGTGTGGTTAAATGTCAACCCACCAATTTTCACATGCTTTCCAGTGCGCCGACGAACCACCCCTCACCCCTCCTCACCATCTTGCTTGACTGTCGTCGCCGCCGTCTGTCGTCGTCCTTTTTCTATCCTTGTTCTTTTGTGTATGCCACCATACGCATGCTACCTGGTGCCCGAATATCCCGCCGTGCCGCGGTGCCCACTACCTTGACTCCAGCTGCAACTCACCGCCACTAGTACTGATGTAAGCAACCTCGGCAGAAGGGGTTGCCTATGTTTTTGACGCTCTTGTACAAATGTTGTGCCTTGAGAGCCAGATGCTGGGGTGAAAGCTCGCGTTCATGGGAAGCCGCCACCAGCACTGCACTAGGTAGACGTACTGTGGTGTACAAGCAGGAACACTCAACTGATCCGGATGGGTGACACGACTGTCGCTTTCATGTTCATGGAGCACATGCCCGATGCATGTTCCCTATACCCTAACCCTAGCCCTAGCCCCAGTGCCGGCGAACCGGCCCTCCTTCAAAACTCTATCTTCTATTGCTACACATGTCTTGCAGGTAGTGTCAGCATCTACTGTTTTGGCTATTGCGAGTTGTCTGCTGGTCGAACACTGAGATATATTCACACCCATCCCTGGCCAACGCACTACATTACTCTACTCTACTCTCAGGTCGGGTACCTGGACTACGTTGCGGTGAATGCCGTCGGGAGCGCACCAACGCCGACGCCCACGGCCCCACCCGCCGCCGCGCCTGTTACCCCCGCCGGGGGCGCCACCGCCGCGTTCGTGGGGGTAGAGTCCGGTGCCGCCATCCTGCCCGATCAGATCGGGGGCTCACCGCTCACGGTAAGAGCATCCTCTACTCGTGACTGTAGTCTACACTTCTGTATGTGTATGTACTGTGACTCTTGAGACAGGTAACCGTAGACTCTGTGTGTTTCATGCTAGAGAAGCTGAAGGTCCTGCACAATCTTCCGTCGCCAAGACTCGCGTCGTAAAAATGTTTCTGAACCTCGTCTATGTTGCATCGCCCGTGCAGAATGCTGAAGAGGCGGCCACTGATGACACGAGTGCTTCTATCGAGTTCGCGGCTACTTCCAGCGAGGCTGCCGCGGTAAGGGTCTCGACGATGCCATTGGTCCATCCTAGGGGTGCTACTGTACGGACAGTTTTGTTCAAATTTCGCGGATGCACTTATGCAGGGTACTTGGGCCGAGTTAGCCTTATGGCATTTTGGATGCCGGCAAAAACTCACCGCACGGAGTTGGTGATACCGCCGAACAGTGGCTGTCTTCGACGACTCCGGCGCGCACTATCCTATGCGTCTTGCTCGATTCTGCCGATACTTGAGGCCGAATGGGTTTGTCGATTCTAGGCATACATGCCAACCTATTCCCGCCCTGTGCTTGTCCTGGCTGGCACCACACGACCGGCACGTTCTTAAACTCCCCTCTATTTTCCCCTTGCATGGGAACAGTACGAAATGTACTTCCTCGCACCTGCGGCCGTCACGGGCCCGTTCACGATTACCATCACGGCACAGCTTGGCACCGTCGCCGTCGCCAGCGACTGGAAGGTGGACATGTACTCGTTCTTGCCTGTAGGCAGCGACGCCTACTTCGAGGTCGGCGATCTCACCGGTGGTAAGCCATTACGTTACCTATTATTCGCTTGTTCGATCATGTAGCCGACGGCGGTGTGCTGTAGAAAGTCGTTTCGATAGATGACCATTTCCACCATTTCCGCGAGCTCCGTTCTTTCTCCGCTTGGTGGTTCCATGGAATGATGCGCTGTCTTCCAACTGCGTGCTCTGTACAAGTGCGAATTCACCGTTTGCGTTCAACGGACGTAGTCTGGGAAACGATACGGAACCGTTTTAACCTGATCGGATATTTGTGCATGCTCCTTCCGTGCGCTGTTTCGTTTTCTTCGTCCGCAACCCTGTTGCTTTTTGTGTGGTATAACAGTGACATCTGGATCTTGGTCGACCATCACCCTGACCTTCGATCCCGCGACCCCATCGAATTTTTTGTTGCCGATCGCCATCGAGTACCTTGTGAGTGTACGTGGGACGAAGGTCTGGGAAGTCTGAGTTAACTTGTTCGGCAATGAAGCAGCCTGTCGTCCGGGGAAGCTACTGTACCATATGACACTTACGTCAAGGAGAACACATATGATGCACATGTTACTACAGCTCCGCCTCTCTCCAAATACTTTTGTCTTACGCTGTCCCCCCTGACCTACGCAATACTTCGCTTACAGATTCAGCTGAGGACCGAGAGTGCCGGTGCGCAGGTACGTCTAGTCTAGCGTCCCCACTACAGTAGTGCGTTCGACCTCCACTTGGTAGAGAGGCTACCGCTGGAATGAAGGTCCTTCGGAGTACCTGCCTACTCTTTGACGTCAATATTCCTGTTTTGCGCACGTTGTCGTTGTCGTTGCTGCTGTCCCCTCTGCACTTCTGCCAGTCCATCTACGTTGACCAGATCGTCGTCTCTGACGGAGCACAAGGGCCGTCCCCTGCCCCAGTGACAACTCAACCCGTAGCTGGACCGACCGCTCCGCCTGTGACAGCTCCGCCCATGCCTCCACCGACTGCTCCGCCTGTAGTTGCCCCCACGGACGGGGCCACCGCCGCGTTCGTGGAGGTTGTGAGTGGTGCCGCCATCCTGGCCAATCAGATCTCGGGCGGACCACTCGCGGTAAGAGCATCCTCGACTCATACTGTTTATTCTGTTACTCGTAGACTGAAAGCATCTCGGGGGAGAAGACGATGACGGTGACGGTCCTGAAGAGTACATGTGTGCCATCGTCGCCAAGAATTTCGCCGACCAGCTTTGTTTCGAACCCCTCCTCTATGCTTGATTGGCTCGTGCAGGTTGCTGACCAGGGGGCCACCAGCGACACGAACACTTCTATCGCGTTCGCGGCTACGTCCGCCGAGGCTGCGGCGGTAAGGGCCCCGACAATGCCATTGTGTCACCTTAGGGAAACCATACCATTGAGGCTGCAAAAACATGAATAGTACTATTAGTACAAGTTTGTTCCTTGTTCGCCGATCGCCTAAAATAAAGGGGGTTTGAACCGAGTCGTTCTGGATCCGGACGGATTGCTCACCCGAAACGCTAGTTGTTCTCACGATTCCGGCGCGCACTGCATGCGTCTTGCTTGATTTTGCCGATACTTCAGGCCGAACAGGTTTGTCGATTCCAGGCATGTATCCCAACCATTGTCCCTCCCTGTGCTTGGTGCATTGCATGTTCTGATTCCTCCTAAAATAGTTCCCTCTTTTTCCCCCGCATGGGAACAGTACGAAATGTACTTCCTCGCACCTGCGGTCGTCACGGGCCCGTTCACGATCACCATCACGGCACAGCTTGGCGCCGGCGCCGTCGCCAGCGACTGGAAGGTGGACATGTACTCGTTCCTGCCTGTAGACAGCGACGACTACTTCGAGGTCGGCGATCTCACCGGTGGTAAGCCATTACGTTACCTATTCTTCGCCCGTTCGATCATGTAGCCGACGGCGGTGTGCTGTAGAAAGTCGTTTCGATAGATGACCATTTCCACCATTTCCGCGAGCTCCGTTCTTTCTCCGCTTGGTGGTTCCATGGAATGATGCGCTGTCTTCCCAACTACGGTGTGTCATGCACGAAATGACCGTTTTCTCCCAACGGACGTAAGCCGGAAGATGGCGCGAGATCCTCCAAACCTGATCGGATGTATGCACATGCCCACGTGCCGCTATTTTTTTTCATCCGTAACCTTGTTGCTTTGTGTGGCAGTGACATCTGGATCTTGGTCAACCATCAACCTGTCCTTCAATCCCACAACTCCGGCGAACTTTTTGTTGCCGATCGCCATCGAGTACCTGGTGAGCCTAACGTCTCGATTCTTCTTCTGTTCGAGCGCCTGGGAACCAATGAGAGCTTGAAGCGTTGAGTTTAAACTGTCAACTTGGGGTCATGTGGACGAAGGTCTGGGAGGTCTGAGTTGACTTGTGCGGCGATGTAACACCCTGTCTTCGCCGGGAAAGCTACCGTACCTCACTGTACCCTTTCATAACATGTGCAACACTTTGCCGCAAAGCTCCAACTGTTCCCTAACCGTTTTTCCTTTCCCTTCCCTGTCCCCCTGACCTACGCAACACTATTATTGTGCACTGCAGGTTCGGCTGAGGACCGAGAGTGCCGGTGCCCAGGTATGTCGTCCAGTCTAGCGTCCCCACTACAGTAGCGCCAGAGTGTAGAGGCCACCTCTAGCATGTTGAGCCTTCGCGGCGTGAAGGAAAAAGAACGGCCTTCGGAGGAGCTAACTAGCCTCGAGAACAACATCCTTTTTCTTGTCTTTCGCATATTTTCGTTGTCATCGCTGCTGTTCCTTCTGCACCAATGCCAGTCCATCTACGTGGACCAGATCGTCGTCTCTGACGGAGCACAAGGGCCGTCCCCTGCCCCAGTGACAGCTCAACCCGTAGCTGGACCAACCGCTCCTCCTACAGTTGCCCCCACGGTCGCCCCCACCGCGCCGCCGACCCCCGGTCCCGTCCAAGTGGACATGGTCCCTTGCATCTTGGCCTCGGAGTCGGTGGTGAGTGGCCAGGACAGGACACATGAATGAATTACGGTGTGCAGTTCCTTGTGTTACAGAGAGCGGGGTATCCGGTGGTATCGTGTTGACCGACATGGGTGGCGTCAAGGTTTCCACCCATTGGCTTGCGAAGGTCCCCCCGTCACATAAGCATGGCATGGATAGGACAAAGGCCTCTGGTCGCAGAATAAAAATGCTGGACTCAGACGCTCCATGACGGACGCAAACTCACCATCCTTCGCTGCGTTTTTTCCCCTGTCCGTAGGAGAAGGACGCGGGTCCCGTGGCTTCGGCGTACCTGTTCAACGAGTTCTACAAGGGCTTCTGGACCGCCACTCAGGTAAGGAAGGCATTCTATTGTAGCCTTGTAGAAAGTGTATGTGCATACATTCGAGGAGCTCGATGCAGGAGAGGGTAGAACTATTGGTCGGCGAAACGCCGGTAGTGGTTGCTCCCACGCCAGTCTCACTGGTTGGACGATGACCCATGTCTCGTACCTTGCTCCCAGGAAGGTACATTCATCGCGATCTTGTTGTTGGCTCGGGAGAATATGAGCGATTACCCAATCGTATTGGTTGGGACTTGCCTCTTCCAGTACGTCGTTTGAGTGAATGGCGGGAAAACACTCCCAGTGAACGAACCAGTCTGAATTCGGCATTGCTTTTCTGAGGTGCTCTCCCTCGTAGTGACCACTGGCTCTCTGTTCTGTGAAAAATGGGTGTTGCTTCTATTCTTGGACCCCCCAACCGACGTTGCCCCGTACCTTCACGTTGGCCTTGCCGATGCGCACTACCGGCATCAGAGCGTCCAAGCACCCCCTGCCGCTGTGCTGGACCTCGTTGAAGCTTTGGATGAGGACCACGGCAAGTGCAACGTCGTCTACGTTGGCATCGTTCCCTCCGCCGCCCAGAAGCAGCAGCTCCAAGACTACTCCCGCAAGTTTAACGTGAGCTGGCGACGGTTTCGGGTGGCGTGGTATCTGCTGTGTAACCTCCCACGAAGCGGAGCACTTGGAACACGAACACAGCGCATCGTGTTCGTACGGATACATCCGACCTTATCTTGTGGTTGTGGCCGCGGTATTCAGATCAAGCTCAAGCTCGAAGATCGTGACGTAGGAGGCAATTCCCTCTTCCCGTGAGCTTTTTTGTCAACCCCGTGCGATGGCGGCGTGTCTCCAGGTACCTGCTAGAGTCTAGTCTACTCGCCGCGCATCTTTCCGCGCGTTCGGCATCACGTGCATCTTGCGTGCTGTTACCCTTTGCTCGTGCCGTCCCTCCTTTCTCTGACAGGTCCGCATCGTTTTCTTCGACGCCGCCAACACCATCCTCGACACGGAAGTCCAAGCTAGGCTGGGCATGCAATCCAACTTCAACCAACCTTTCGTGGGCGCGCCCAGGGTCAAGCGGACAGGTTTGTTTTTGAGGGGCAAGCGAGTGACCTGTTGACGTGCTTTGGGGAAGTGCATCCTTGACGTTTACAACGCATGCCCGCGGGTGCCTAACGATGGCACAAGTCGACTTGACGCATGTTTTCCCCGTCAATTCACCCAACCCCGACGGTTTCTTGCGGTATGGACGATTCGCAGGCGGGTCGGCGGACAGCATCGCCCCCGTCGACATGGTGACTGACCTCAGCCAAAACAATCTGTTCAGCAGACCGGTCGTTACTACGGTAGACACTCTACCGGCCGGCGTCAGCATCTTGGCACAGTGAGTGATGATGCACCGCGCCTATTGGAGACTTGCTCGAGAACCCGTGGTTTCCTCTATTTGATGAAGCTGGGTCACGTAGGACCGCAGCGAAATAGTTTTCGTTCTTTGGAGAAGCCTTCGATCGATCAGTAAAGGGTAAACAGAGACCGGCATGCATTCATCATTATGAAGTACTCTATTCTATGCCGTCGAACATCGAAGAAAACATGGAACACATTTGGGTAGGCCTAGATTTGGCTTCAGCGTCCGGAAAGAAAGGAAGGTGCTTGCCTCTTCAGCATCAATGGACCACGCATGCACTGCCGCCTTTTGTCTGGATTTGTCTTCACGTTTGTATCGTCGTCATCATCTCCCATCATCAGGTACGCGGACGAAAATGGTGACGTCATTGCCGGCGAGCTTGCGGGCGTCACTAAACCCGAGAGCGCTGCCATCGTCGAGTACATTGGCACCGACGGTCTAGAAGAGATGCATGTGTTCATCAGTCTGGCTTGGTTCGACACAGGATCATGGGCGTGGGGGCACTTCATCTCCGAGTGGGGTACCCGGGGCATCTTCCAGGCAAGAGCCACTCTTAGTTTGACTTTCGACAACCGCACCACAAAAAAGAACGCGCATCGGCACACGAGGTTTACGGATAGTGTTGGTGCCGACGACCAGACCACGCGATTCAATGGTGTGACCGTAGAACTTTGGAAAAGACTAGACCGACTACAACGTGTTTGCCCGTGGTAGCCGTGCGACACTCAACATCGTTCGTTCGCACACGTTCCGAAACAATGCCAATGGCGGGCGCTTGAGCTATCTCCGAACCTCGTCGACATTCTTCTTGAATGGTTCTCTTCTCTTCCCAGGGCGAGCGCCGCTTCTACTTAGGAGGTGTCGTCGATGATCTGTTCCTCTCAACAGGTGGGTGTGGTACGGCGGCCTCAAGCAAAATCGAACGAATCAGATGCATACGTTTACTTACTGTGGCTCACGAATGGGCGTAGCCAAGATGCTGCCGACAATGTCAGACTTGAGGATGTTGTTGACTTTGCGGATACATCACGGCTGCATCCCATTTCTCTCGTAGGGAACGGAACAAATTTTCGACGACGGTGGGAGGGTATGTATGTATGACCGTGAGCCTCGCAAACTACGGATTGTTTCGAACGGAGGGGGGTTAGCCTGTAGATGTTCGAGTCACTGGGGCACAGATGTAGAAGCAGCGAACCATATTGTACGTATCACATGACCGTTTATCCACATGCCGCACCTTCAGGTGTCTGGATTTACGACCCTCCATCCTTCTTCGGGCCGCAGGTGAGGGAAAAATGTTGTTGGATGCAGTCAAAGGAAACGATATAAGGGACATTCACTGTTTGGTTCTTGGCCCTTGAGGGTGCGACGATGGAAGCGTCGCGGGGGTCCCCCGAGCGTGATGGGTCCGAGAGGCCGAGTACACGCATGACCCCCAGGGTAAAAAAAGCGTTTCAGAAAAACATGAACATACTTGTATACATAGTGAAAGTAATGACATTTTGGTGCACTCATAATTGCTTGTCTCCTCGGGCAGCAGGGCTGCCGTTGAAAAGGAATGCCCCGGGTACTGCATGACAAGCTGAGCGCTGATTGTCACTTACCTGCTGGATACTGATTGCTGTGTCGGGTACGCATGTGTCTCCCGCTTGTTGGGTGCTTTTTTTCCACCCCGCGCAGGTTAGGCTTTCGGGAGTCGACCTCCAGAAGTTCCAAAACTCGGAAGCGGCATTCAACACCGCGTACGGAGCGTCGGTGAAGACAGAGTACGCCTTCAACGGGCTCGGTGTCCTCGACAAGGTGACAACGACAACGACAAGGGTAGATGGCAAGGAGAAAGCGCTCGTTGGTGGTGGATACTGACGAGATGCACATTTCTACTGTGGCGTGCGTGCTGTTGGTTGTCCGAGCGCCAGGTGGGCTCGCTTGCATAACACGAACACGAGTTGGTTTTGACTGCGAGTTTTCGAGACTCTTGATGAAAGCTAGTAGGTAGCTTATCGCAACCTCTTGATTGAGACGTTGCTTCCTCTTGATGTTGTGTCGCGATACTGACACTGCACAGGTGGGATCTACGAGACGGAGCTGGGTGGGTGCCGACGCCGACATCGGCCTGCTCCCCAAGGGTGACCCGCCGAACCCGAGCACAGGTATCGTCGCCCTTGCAGCAGCAATCGATCAACCGATTCCGAACCTGTGCACGCCGTCAGGAAGAGTCGACTCTTCTCATGGATCACCGAACTAGCATGCGATCGTGCCGTGTCTCTCTGAACCGCCGAATAAACACCCATGTCTATGAACATTCCTCAGGTATCCCCCAAATCAGCGACCCCAACTGGCTGAGCACCCAATTCAACCCGGCGAATGGAGAGCAGGGTATGCAGGACGACTACGACGCCGGGCTGTTCAATTCCGACGATCTACTTGCCCGCGTCCAAGCTGACCTGGACGCGTTCTTCTGGCAGAGCCACACCATGACCCACCTTGCCCGCGACAACCTTGGCAAGAACGACTGCGACATCGAGGACGGAGGTGAGTGGTGTCTTGTCATGTCATGCCATGTCATGTCATCTCATGCAGTCGGTGGCTAGTGGGGAAGGATGCTGTTCTTTGTCCCCAAATTATCTTTTGGCTGGTGTCGAGGTGCACGCACGTTGCTCTCAACAACAGTGCCGTGAGTGAGTATGTATGTATGTAACAAATTATGGTCTGATGATGCATGTGGCAGGTCGACGTTGAGGTGATAAGTCTAGATACTCTTAGGGTTAAGTCATCTAAAAAATGGCTACCCGCGGCTGGCCGCCAATGCCGTGCCCAGGCAACGCACGTATGGCTGTAATGTTCGGCATGTTCGACAACGACAACTACAACTGGCGCAGCATGACGAGCCCAGGCATCACGGGGCTGTTCAACCCCAACTGCCTCCAGTCCGGCGACGAGAACCTCATGAAGTGCTACCCCGGGGACAACACCTATAGCGGCCCCCCCCTGACGGACGTGTCCCTGATCAACGAGAACAACCAGTTCCACTCTCTCACCACCACGGTCGGCACGAACGGTGAGAGAACGAGAACAAAGGAGTCGTTGGGTGTTGTCTTGACCCTTTCGTCTAGAAGGTGACATAAACACCTGGTTGACAGGGAGTTCGGCAATATTACTTATTGGTGTGTTTCTTTTTTCTCCCATCATTGGACTCTGTCTTCTTCCCCTCTGCCCCTATCCTCCACTTCTACCAGCTAGACGACCCAACCGGGGTCACATAGGAGGGGGGGGCTGGACCCCCTCCTGCGGTTCATGCCTGACGTATTTTTATCGCGAGAAGGGTACAGCAATCCCTTCCCTCGCGACCTAAGAAGTCTATTATGGTTTACTAACAACGAGCTTTGCAGCGCGTCGTTTTCATGCTAGATACGTTGTGTGACGAAGACACTGTTAGGGGCGCCAATCGGTCAAATTTCTTATAGGAAAAAATTTCGAAAAGTGTCCTGGATCTTCCAGATAGAGGTTCTCAGAGAACTACATAAACCAATCACACTTCATCAGACCGGTTCCTTGTTTGAAAGGGGGGAGCGAGCTATGAGCTATGCAGCCCGCGCGATCAACAGAACAAAGACAAACAGCAACATGTTGGCCGAGAACCCAACCCACGACGAAGATCTAGCCATTTGCTCGGCACTAGCATGTTTCGCGAGCTGTGTTTAGCCTGCACGTCAGATCCTGTGCGTGTGTGTGCATTTCCGAACTTCCTCGTTTGTTTTTTTTTGCCCTGCTTTACCCCGTGCTCTCTCCTACGCACCAGGACTTGCTTTCACCGCATCCTAGCGGAACCTAACTCATCCTCGCGCCGAGAGCGGATGGCATGCTTGTTCGGTGTCTTTAGAGTTCGTTTGGATGCGCAATGGTGGGCCTTACCCTCCTCCCAAAACAAATGCTCCCTCCCAGACCCAAAAAATCGGTTGAAAAACTGCCGCTGGAGGGTTTTTCCGTCACACATCCTCCTTTCGAGCAACGGTGTACAAGCCCCAGGGCCAGCTATAGATGCAAGTAGCGCCTGCCGACCACGCTTGAGACAACTGGCTAGCCTCCAGTGCTGCGGTGGCGGCGTTGGGACATCACACGCTCGCGTTCCTTGAGCTTTTCTGAAAACGTGACGGCTGACTACGGAGATTTTTTTTTTGAGCGAGGGGCCGCTGGCCGGCAAAAAGTCAGGTAGAGGGGCGGGCCACTTTCTGTCAAGTGGTACTCGTTCTTGGTAGATGCGATTCCCGATCGGTCTTTTGTGTGGGGTGGCTCAAAACCCAAGGAGGTGCGCTGCGGATTTGCTTCTTCGACTTGCGCACCACAGCGTCGGGCNAAAAAATGTATGTTTTTCGAGCCGTTCTCTCCGACCTTTGAACTTCCGAAAAAAGCGAATCCACCGTCACCTCTGTAGGACCTGTGTCCAGATATGTGTAAAGTATGAAGAGCCGCGCCGCTGCCTGGACGCAGAGCCACTTGAACGAAAGTTCGGAAGAACGAGCATACTCAAATTGTATGATTTTCAAGAGCTGAGTTGAGAACCAAAAATCCGCGTGCCCCCCTTTCTTTCTCAAAATCCTCGAATAGACCGGTCACTTTTTTGCCGCCAAAATCGCCCCGATTGGCACCCCTAACTGTAACTTTCATCCCCTATCTATTGAAAACCGCCATATGACGCCGCGTGTTGACAGTTGGCAGCGTTCGTGTGGCAGCGGGAGGGAGGCATGCGTCTGGGAGGAACGAGAAACATGTCAGAATTTCTTGTGTGTTGACTGAGTGGCTATTGTGTGGAACCCCTCCCAATAACCGGTCCTCCCGATGTCTGCTATTCCTCGGCTTTACAGGTTACGCTGGTATGCAGATCGTCCCTCGCTTTGCCACGAATGTGTACTTCAACTGTGTCACGGGCCAGGTACGGATAGATCAGGATGTACGTTTGGACTGATATTCGTTTGCATAGCGGGATAGCTGATTGTGGAACAGAGAGGGAACGGAAAAAATCTTGATGCCATTCGCAAAGGAAAGACGATTAAGAAGGCCCCCCCTTTGTGGCCGACTTTCGCTGCGTCACACACACCCGTAGCACCGCCTGTCTACAAGGATTCCAACCGACTAATACGTTACACCAATTATCTGAATGCTAGTCATGGTTGGCTGCACCACGAAGGTGTTGCGACGCCAAGAATACACCTTACACGGTTGCGTCCTTTGCCCCGCGACCATGTTGTTTTACTTTTACTGACTGCAGTGCCTCATCGACGAGAACGAGAAAATCCGTCGTGACGTGTGCGGCTGCACCGACCTCAACCCAGCCAACCCTCAGGTACAAAATACACGTGAAACCGGTGCTACTTGTTCGGCGACCGGAGGAGACATGGGCCCTCCCACATGCTCATGTTTTCCGTTCGGCCTACCTTGTACAATTGCATACCTACTGTAATCCTCGATCGTTGCTTCGCTGTGAATCGTGGAGTAGTTGCAGGCGTGCTGCTTGTCGGCGGTCACGATACAATGCTGCAGTGCACGACAACACTGTGCAACGTTGCCCAGTACATCTGTGTCTTCTGACTAACGAACGCGAGGTGTGCACCAACCCTACCCAAACGTGTCCCTCCCGTGTTCAACAAAGGGAACCTGCTCCGCTTGCCCCTCAGGCATCAAGAGCTTCAACGATATTGCATCTTCCGACCCGTCGATCGGACCGCTCGAAGCTCTCTTCCAGACGGAGGAGCGAACTACTACCCGCTACATCCTCACCGGACGCAGGTACAAATACGGGCGGTCGGTCTCTCGAGTCGGTGATGTTATTGGGAGCCGGCGTGGATTCTTGGAAGCTGCGCGCGGAAGCCAAGTGCAGATCATTTTCGTTTCGTGGAAATGTTTGGGCGCCGAAGCGGGCTACTTGCCGTTGGCAGTAAGGGTACCTGCTTGTCCATGTAGACTAGTTCTCTTCTTCTTTTAACTTCGTTTCAGGGCATTCTCCTGAACGCTGTTGAACCCCCCCGCCGTGCGCGCGCTTCTGTGCTTTTAACGGCGACAGAGACAAGTACATGTTCCACCAGGCGAACGTGATCAGCACGACTTGGACTGCCGACACGTCGGACCCGATGTACGTAAGCCCTAGGCCCACCAACAACCCTTCCCTCCTCGAGTACTGGTACATCCGCGTCCTTGCTGAGATGGCCAGGTTCATCAACACGGGTTCCTTCCCCATCCAGGTTGGTACTATTGCTGGCTTTCCTTCTCCAGTTTTAAGTTTTCACTCCGGAGCGAGAGTGCCTGTCTTCGACATCGTGTTGACCCATGCTCCCGAGGGGCAGGAATGGCACAAAGTAGGGCACCCCCCACAATTGATACGACGACGCCGCCGACGGCACAGCGTTTCGTTCCAGCTTCGCCCCCGGCCGCAGCCCTCAAGCCAAAGGACGTTCGTTCTTTCGGCGACACCCAGTCCCTCTCACTCGCCCCGTTCCGACCGTCCCTGTGGTTGATTTTTCTATGATTGAGCAGACTCTCAAGTTCGACAACCTGTGCCACAACTTCTACCAACATGAGGACCTGGACAGCTCGGGTGCCGTTCTGACGGCGACGAAGGACCCCTCCGGTGCCATCACCGGCTTCTCCCTCGAGACTTCCTCCAACAACGGCGCCCCCGTTCCGTTGACAGTCCCCACAGCTAGCTCCGCAGCGGTACGCTGTCCGTTTGTTTTTTCGTCGCACACATTTTGATTGGTGGATGATGTGCTGCAGTTGCTGGTGCTTGGCACGCGCAAGACACGCGAACTTTGTGTTTGTGTTGAGTGCATGCAAAGTTGTTGAGATGGTTCGTGCTTGACGGGCGCAAGCATCATCATCGTCGAAAATCGTCTCCAAACTCGTTTGGATTTCTCTGGCACTCTTTGCTTCACACCACAGATCGATCTGATCTTGGCCGCGGGCACCCTGTCACCCTCCGCGACCGAAACCTACGGCGCCGACACCACCTACACCTTCGCAGCTGGCACCCTCAACACCGGTACCCTCTCCAAGCCCGACGTCAGCGAGTGAGTCTATGGCTTGCTGGTACAATACCCTGCCCTTGTCCTACGGCCAGGGATTGCACTGTCTTTCCGTCTGACGCTTCCCCGTTACGCGTGACCCTAGCGCGGTCGAGCGCATACACCACCGTCTACCTTCGCTCGGACGTCATCCGCTTTGTTTTTTTCGAACGGGATACGTCCGACGTGGCGTGCCGCCGCGGTCTACGAGAAATCGTCCAGCAATCATCGCCACTGACCTCCCGACCTGCCGCCCCTTCGCAATCGCCCTTCGGCCTGGGTTGGTTGTGTGTACCACGTCCTTGTCCTTGTCCTTGTCCTTGTCCTCGTCCTTAGGCTCGCCCCCATCCCTCAGGCAACCCTCACTCCGGCTGAACAGATAGCCGTTGAGGAAGCGGCGAAGGCGGAACTTATGGATGAGATCCCATCCATCGTCGGGGTTGCGGTAAGGTCCTCGCTTCGGCCCGTGTCGCTGTTCTGAAGGCCTTGTGTTTCTCAGGGTTTTGAGTAGGTATGTTGCTCTGTCTGCAGTTGCCAAGCCAGACCATCGTATTCAGCAAAGGTCTAGCCAGGTGTGGGCATGTTGGAACACCAGAGAACCACAACCCTTTCAGTCGCAATCCCTTGGGCTTGTACCCTGCAGCAGTGGAAACGAACACGAGGCGAAGGAGAGCGTGTGAATTTCGGAGCATCATCAAAGAAGTTGTATGTATAACGTTCAAGTGTTTGCTCTCGTGATGAAAGAAGTAAAATAGACCATGGAACAATTCGCAGGCTCGTGCCATCTTGGACATCCACCAATGTGTAGTCGTTGCCGTGTGCTTTCGTCACGTTTTTGATATCAGGAGGATGCCCGGGAGGCCATCGAAGACGAGGCCGGCAACCAAGGCTTCGTCGTGGAGGACTTAGCTGGAGAAATCCTCGTTAATCCTGTCGAATCGGCTGCCAAAACTCCCTAGAAGCTCACTTTGTGGAAGCAGTGCGCGTGATGTGCCTTACTTTGACGACAGCAGACGAGCGTGTTTTTGTTTGTTTTTTTCCCATCATTGGACTCTGTCGTCTGCCCCTCTGGCCGCTATCCTCCACTTCTACCAGCTAGACGACCCAACCGGGGTCACATAGGAGGGGGGAGTTGGACCCCCTCCTGCGGTTCCTGCCTGAGATGTTTTCATCGTGGGAAGGGTATATTGTACAGCAATCCCTTCCCTCGCGACTTGTGAAGTCGATCGAATGTTTCCCAAGAAGGGTGGTCTTTGTTTCAACTCGTGTCGCTAATATTAGCCTTCTTTTGGCGAGGACGGATACACTGTAGATTCCGCCACGTACATGTACTTTAGTGTGGTTCAAGAAGTGGTGTGTTGCAGTTGTAAGGTTGAAGAAGTGGCTCTTGCGTTTGGAACGAGAAACGGTGTACGTTGGTGATGGAGGAGTGCCTGTTGCCCACAATCGTCGTTCGAATGCATTAGTTGGTTGAAGGGCCGGACAACGCTTGTTTGAAAGTGGACTTTCTTGTCTTCATCATGATGCACAATGAAGGACACCGTGATGGCGTCCACAAGTCTACCCAAGTCCACCAGACTATACTACGTATTTCCCGTGTTTCATCCAATCTGGACTTGATCGATCTTGTAGCTCTTCTTCGCGATAGCGTTGACCTTGTGTCGTGTGGTATTATTTCAATGTGTTCGTGTAGGAGTTGACAGGTAGAGTATACTGTAGTCGAGGCTGATAGGAGTTGACAGGTAGAGCACTGTCGTGATTCCGTGGTCAAATCGATAACTAACGACAGTACTCCCTCGAATCATCTCTTGTGTGCAAGCAGTGTTCGCGATCTTCCATTTCCGTATTCGCGGTGTCCCTTCACTTCATGTAGAGTAGTGCGTTCCGAGAAGGGCACCCTCTATTTTATAATGTAGAAGTACAGTAGAGAAAAACATTTGTGGCACGCAGTTCGCTGATTGGCCAACGCCCCCTGCGGCGGAATTTAAAAAACAGCAAAAAAA